CAGAAAATATGACGCATAGTTACCGTTTACGTACAATTGCTTTATTAAATTTGTTATAGAATAAAAAATAAAATAAAATAGAAATACTAACGTTAAGAAATGAGCTGATTTTAAGAATAAATGTTAGTTTAATTTAGTACGTTTACTATTAAGGTTTATTCTGTTTAATTTTGTATTTATGATATAGATCTTTAAATCCGTTTGTTAATTGTTGGATTTCTCCCTTAAATCGATCCAATTCTCCCTTAAGTTCTTTGGTCGAATCTTCGTCTTTGACTTTAATCATACTAAATATAGTTGGTTCACCCGAGTATACACCATAGTCAAGTTCTTTAGATTTAATTATTTTATTTATGGATTTAGAAGTAAAATAATCATATCTATTTGATAAGATATTTTTAAGAAATTTTCGAGGTATATCCCCGTATAAAGTTTTCAATGAATAATAATCTACATGTACCATCTCGCGTGAGGTATTCAAGAAATCATGAAGTTTATGAATAGGGTCAAACTGTCTTTGAATTTCATGAATTTCATCCTGTTTAACATATTGTATGAAGAACTTTTCTGCCGTGCGAATGTCTTCTCGCATATGATTCAAACATTGTGGCGTATTATATTTTGCATCTTTGTTCCTCATTGATTCTATATATGCTATCACAAAATTTTGAATCATGGTAACAATCATCATGAAAAATAAATGTGAATTCAAACATAACTTAATATGTTTCAAATAATCTTTTATCGTGAAGATAATAGTGCTCATGGGATCGTCCTTGTACCACTTTGAAGTATGCATTTTACGAAATGGCTTTTTAAGATCATTGAATATTATGCATAAGGATGTACTGATAGCGTTAGTAACGACATTTAAGAATCCATCTTTTACATGACAAAGTTCATCATTAACAGGATCCCAGGATTCGCTAGATTTAAATAATGGAGCTAACCGTATTTTAAGAATTTCAATATGATTCGAGCAAAGAAATTCATCATTAGCTAATGCGATAATATATTCTAAAAGACGTGGTTCACCTCTTCCTTCTATGTATAAACGAACTTCTGATTCTAATGTGATTATCCAAGTTTGTTGTACGTCTGTCATCACTTGACAACATTCCTTAATTACATTGATCAAAATTTTTTCATGAGTAGACATGATGGCTAAATCTATTTGTTGATTAATCATACTAATTAGTACAGGTGTACCAGGAAGTCCAGTTACCTGATTAGCATCTAATTCGTGAAGACGTTCAATAAAATCTTTGATATCACTTTTAATCAAATTAGTCTTCCATTCTTGGAATTTGCCACGCATAATTGATAGGAAATAATCAATCAACTCTTGCTCCCTGCCATCTAAAAGCTGTGGTTCCAGCAAATCCTGCGATACATTCATATCACTTACGATTTTAAGGTAATATTGACGTATCCAGCGAATTAAATTAAAAATAATTCCTGCGTCAAGATCCGAGTCGGTTTGTATAACGTCATTCAACCAAGTATAAACTTGATTGTGATATTCTTGCACAAAAAAACGCCTTATATTATAATGTGAAGGAAATTGAGGTTCAATTTCATCTTTTACTAAATTTAAATCATTATATATAAAGTCTAATTTATCTAATAAAGTCAATGGGGCGTCTTTAAAATTGCTCAAAAAAAGGTCAAATCTTTCCAAAATGGTGTCACTAAGATTACTAAAAAAGATATTTTTATACGATTTAGTAATATGTGTTTCATTCTTTTGAGTATTCAATTCCTCAATTATTCTAGCTAAACTTTTGATTACTGTTTCTGAATGACCTTTACTAGCCAGAACAAAAATATTTCTGGTTAATTCCCAAAGGTAGTAAATAAATTCTTTGGAAAAATCATCCAATGGTTTAAAATAAAGTTGTAATACATTAATAATATCTTGTGATGCGTTATTTGCTTCATGCATAGTATTATCTCTTGATAATTCAAGAGCAGATAATTGAGAATAAATGAACAACAGATTACCGGTATCCGCAGGATTAGAAAAGTTTTGCTTATATAGTATTAGTGAATTTCGTAAAAAATTGATAAGTTGATGCAACTCTTGCACTTGTAGGAGAGTTTCTTGTGTTCCAACATTATTGTGATTTATTTGTGGAACCTAGTAATAAAAAAAAAAAATTCGAAAATAAATTATTAGATTTATACAGATAATATAGACCAAAGAGAGTATTGTTAACAATTTTTTTGGCCGCAGTTAGCCACAAATTTAACCTTGTTAATTTTTGGAAAATGATTAATGGTGGGCTGTTGTTGATTTGAAGTTGAATGAATGATTGTCTGCATGCTTTCCTTTTCCGAAACATTTTGTTTACCATGTTTGCCTGAACGAGA